TATATATATATATATATATATATATATATATATATATATATATATATATATATATATATATATATATATATATATATATATATATATTTCTTGAAATTGATATATATATATTTCTTGAAATTGATTTATTGCCTGTTTGAGATATTTTATTTCGAAAGTTTTTAGCAATAACAGGCTTTTTGATATGAAAAACTTTATTTTTGTTGACGTTTCGTTGTTATATTACAACTTTGTCAAAACTAATGAATAATTGAATTTATGAGTTACTATAGATATCAAATGTCAAACTCATTTTCTAGAAAAATCAAATTAGTTTTTTTGTATCTTCACTTATTGATTTTCATTATCAGAGGAAAATTTATATCAATAATTATATATATATATATATATATATATATATATATATATATATATATATATATATATATATATTACTATTTCGAAAGTTTTTAGCAATAACAGGCTTTTTTTGATATGAAAAACTTTATTTTTGTTTTAATTAATATTTTTATTTGAAACAAAAATAAAGTTTTTCATATCAAAAAAAGCCTGTTATTGCTAAAAACTTTCGAAATAAAATATCTCAAACAGGCAATAAATCAATTTCAAGAAATATATATATATATATATATATATATATATATATATATATATATATATATATATATATATATATATATATATATATATATATATATAATTATTGACTGTTATTCAAGTATAAGTTGATAGTTATATAGTATTAAACGTAAAACTATACTTATAAAGATGATTTAACGTTTCTAAATTCCGAAGCACAAAAGTCGTCATTTGTTGCAAAAAAGATTTCTACCATCGAATAGTCTTTGGCAAGTTTGAATCATTTGCTTTGATCAATCCAGTCTCCATGTTGGTGTTGGATTTAATATTGAGTATTTCAGAGTTATTTCGTCGGTATGAACACAAACCAAGAAATGGAGGGTACAACTAACAGTCTTTGACGCTTTTCAGGTTGATGACGTCATGTGCTGTGATTGGCGTTTTGAGTCACGTGACAATTGACCATGAATACAGCTTTCAATATTAATTTCATTAAATTCTATAAGATAAATCGAATTCTTAAAATGTGTTTTTGGAGATTGTAATACTTCAAACTTCGAAAAACACGATACATCAATTTGTGATTAGTGTCAACATCTCTATTCCAACACGTATCTTTCACCTCAATCAACTATTGAGACTGCTATTTTCAACTCATAATGTACATCTTATTGTTAAATCTATTCTATTAGCGTCTGAAGAAGTGCATAACCTGACGAAACGTGTCACATAATGACAATCAAAGTGTAAATAAAATTTAAGAGTTTGAATTATCCTATAGTTATGATATAGGATAATTATTATTATTAGGTTATCGTTATCTTATTGTATTTATATCGCATCTTATCTGTTCTGAAAACATCATTTATAACTTTTATGCATGATTCTAGAGATGCAATTGAATGCGTTCCCCAAATTCGAACATTCTCTAATCTAGTTCTATTCAACTTTTGCGAAAATAAACTTCGACACTGACAATATTGAAGCAATGACTTACGTCAATATACCTATAAAATCGTAAAATAAACTTTACTCGTAGGGATAGAAATATTTCTTTTCAAGTTTCAAGCATTTCCAGGTTAACTGGATTTCAATTACATTGAATAAAACTCTCACCTCTAGAATATCCCTAGCAATTTTTACGTTTATGGGAGTTCATAGCAGTTCGAGTAGAACATAAAGAGCGAAATTGGTCTATAATTCACAATGAACTCATTTTTTTCCTATTTGAGCCAGTTACTTAAAATTAATCACCATAAGAAAAGTACTTGTTTTACTTCCGTTGGAAAAATTTAACAAAGTTGCATGGAGATGAAAATTATCTGATATCAGGTTATTATCAATCAGCTGAAAACTGATGGAAAAATTGTACGTGAATGTGTTATCAATGTGTATTGGTTATATCACTTGAACTAACTTCCATAAATCTTTTAGATTTTATAAAAAGATACTCAAGATACCTAACCGTAAATTTCTACATTCCAGAACATTCAACTTGATTTTCTATATTTGAAGTTTTTATTAAAAATGAACAAAAATATTATGTAAGCGTCCGAAAAAGTCGTTAACTTGACGAAACGTGTCGCGTTATTCATTAAATAAAAGTGTAAATCAAAAGTTCAAGTGCTTGAATTTATCCTATACTTATTTTAATAGATTTACAACAAAAATTCAATATTTTTTAATATTGGCAATAACCCAAATCCCATATTTCGTATCTTCTTCACCATATTTCACCACATATCAAGACATATAATCTTTTCAAAAATATGTAGTATTCATATTCTGTTTTTTCATTCAATTTAGGAAACTCTCTGATCGTAGTTACACTGCAGAATAATTTACTTAATTATTAATAATGATACTTCAAATTATCAATAATGATATTACTGATGATAATGATTTTCTTCAAATTAATTATTAATACTGATAAATTATCAATGATGATATTTTTCTTATTGAAAAATAAAATTTTTCAATAAGGAAAGAAAGGAATCTTCTTTGCGCATAACGACTTCATAGTTCAATATTACATTTTATTACTCACAATAAAATCCGTTGGTATTGGAAAATACAATATTTCTAAACAATATGATATCAGAATTCCGTTCGTTCTTCGTGAATAAATATCTGTAAGAATGTTCACTCAAAGTATCTATTCAAAATAAATGAGGGTAAATCCCCTATTACTATTCCTATCACATGCACACAACAGCGCAAATTCCCCGGAAGGTTATACGTTACATATCATAGCAAATCGAATATCCACCCTTTGAACAATACGATGAAGGCGAACGCAAACAAAGGGTTGCCGCAGAGGAAAATCCACCCCGTCAGTCTTTTATTATAATAGAATTTTCTTGTTATTTTCAGAGGGAGCAAAGGAATAAACGCCTCTTGACTAGGAAATTCAAGTCTGCTACGGCAGCCCGCTAACAAAAACCAGGACATAATTCTAGTCGTGATAGAGAAAAACGTTGCTTCATTCTGCTTACAAAAGAACAAGGAATTTTGCCGTCCATTCATCTTCGGGTTCACCTGTTGATTATTAACTTCATTTCGAGTCCTTCGCAGTTTATTCTAACTTTTTCGCCTGTTTTTTATATATATATATTTTTAGAAATAAAGTATTCTGTCGACGTTGGATTTTTCAATTATCAAATAACGTTGTTTCAGAAAATATAATATTCTGCTTTGTTTGAAGTATTATTGAATTAATATCATTGTTTTATGCTTGTTACAGTTCGTTTGATATTTTGTTCGCTTTTTGTTCTAATTATTTTCGCAGTTATGTAATTAAACTCTCGAAGAATTTCGTACGAAATATGTAAGTTGCTGCAGATGTTTTACTGCTTTGTGATATTTTGTTTATTTTTTAACAATTATTCAATTTTCTTTTACTTAGCTACATTGCATATTCTTAAGTTTATTGTTTTTATGAAAATAAACCTTCTTTTCATGAAATATAGCTCTTTTTTTTTTAATAAATATTCTGCTTAGAACATAATTGAAATCATCAGAATATCATATATGAGGTATATAAAAGAAAACATGTAGCGTTCTTAAATAGTTTTACTCTCAGTAAAATATAGTGTAACCTTGTTGAAGACAATATTTCCTTCGTCTCTTAAGTCAAAATTAAATCGACAAAATACGATTCGTGGACACATTAAGATGTACAACCATAAACACAGAAGATTATCATATTTGAAACGCGGATATCGGTGAAACAGAAAAATCGGAACTAAATATATAATATCTATAAAATATCGAAACCTTGTTAGAATATGAACGTAAATGATATGCCAATGTTTCGAATAATCAAAGATATTTAGCTGATTTTCATTATCAAAAGACAACTTAATCTATTGCGTAACTTATATATAATAGGTAGTAATCCGAAACATCTGTTGTTTATTTTAGAGAAAAACTTTTCTCTAAAATGCAGATACTACTTCAGAAACGAACTATTCATTCTATTGTGACTGAAGTTTTTTTTTATTCAGTGGACCTATAGTTTAATTTCGGTTACGAACAGCCCTTGGGCTTGTAATCAATGTACAATACCCAGCGTATACAAAGTATTCAAAGTATATAATAGTGTTTCAACATATATGGGAATAAGTATATATAATAGTGTTTCAACATAAATGGGGACACCTAGTTCAAAATTAAAATCACTTTTAGCAAGCTATAAGATTAATATTTCTTTTCGGACCACTGATAACATAGGTAATATAATCAAAAATAATAAATCAAAAATTAATAAAAATCAAATGTTTGGGGTATAAAAAATTAAATGTGGCAGTTGTGAAAAATTTTATATAGGAAGAACTTCCAGAAATTTCCTAATAATATTATCAGATTAACAGATTCCCATTATGCTAACCATTTATTAGAAGAAAGTCATATATGTAGTTCAGAGTTAACCCAGTTAGAGGTTAACACTAGTCCTCTTACTTAATATGTTCAATGAGAATAGTCCAATTAGCAGATCAGATTACCTAGGTTTTAGATGATTTACATCCAATTTTATGTATTATGTTCAAAAGTTTTAACTTTCCTTTATTTGTTCTTAGAATCTTAGTTGTATATTTGTATATTTCCTACATTTAGTTGGAATACCTGACTTAACAAATTGATTTTCTCTTTTCATCTCCAGGTATACGATCCTTTTGTGAAATCTCATTGTATTCTATGGTCCTCATTTCAAGTTAGTCATAGAACATACGTGGTATGTTCTGTGAAAATAGCTATAAGTATTGACTTTGTAAAATTACACATAGTATTAATCCAGGCATTTGATAAAGAAGTAGTACTTCGAAACGTCGTCATGCGTATTTTATATTAAATTATGAGAAAATTCTTAATATTGTTTTATTATTCAAAGTACTTGAATCCTAGACATACACAAACACCCATGTCTTCAGCGAGACTCGAACCCGAGTTCTACCGAATCATAGTCGGGTGTTCTCCGGGCTAAGCCACGGAGACCGGCTGTGACTGAAGTTTAGTAGTACCACTACATTTCCAAGCCCATGAAATAATTCATTTTGATGTGTCTGAAAATGTAGAAATACTTCGTAACTGCTGCAAAATAATGAATATAGTGATAACAAACAGAACGTATTCTTCTCTATAATACTATGCATTATCACAAAGTAAATGCCAATCTATATAATATTTATATGAGAAGTATATTGAAGATTTTTGATGAATTTAGACAAGTGGTTCTCGGAAGGATTTCTCGTATATATATACAAGCTTATCATCTACATCTGATGAAGCCACTGCGTTGGCGAAACAATATTGTTATGTTTAACTTAATTATACTGAAAATCACGAAACTGTTTCATTTTTCAATTTTATTCGAATTATTTTTTTTAAATCATTATTTTATTTTATAGTTTTATTTGAATTATGTATTTCATCAAGTATCGGCCCAATCGATTAGTGATAACTAGTTTCATGAAAAATCTACAGTCAAGATCCTAGGAAATTATTCTAAAGATCAAGATGTTTTTGATTATCAATTCGCTACAAGTGCAAGCAGTTTCATTCATTGAAGAATAACTAAGATGTTTAAACACGTATTTCGTACACAATTCTACATACAAGTCCAACACTTCGGCAATAATGAACATACTGATACAAACATGTTATTCGAAATAATCCCAAATTTACGAATAAAAAATATCAATATTCACTATCGATTATTTCAAAGATTTTCAGATTCGCTTTCAGCTTATACTCAGGTATTTTGTATGATTAAAAGTACTAGACCAAATTTCATTGAATTCTCCATATTCACTCGATTTTCGGGCTACTAACCCATTTTTGAGATTCAAATATAATTATTAGTCACCATAAATCACCCAAATATATGTCGAGTGCATCAAGGAATCTCATGGAATTTATGCAAGTAATTCATTGATTACATAATCAATGAAAACATATGTGAATTATAATTTCTTTCGATGAAAAAATATACAAACTATATAATTCGAAGCATTTTTTCAGAGACTTGGTTCCACAAAAAATGTATACACCTCGTATAATAAAATTCTTTTCCATGATTCACTTCGTAATAAGTTTTTGCATTCCATTTTCCGATTCAATATTGTCATTGCGAAAATTGATTGCGAATAGAGAATGTTAAACAACTTCGCAGAAAATCCTGTGAACCAATCTGCTTTCAGATAGATACACGGTATCGCGAAGGGTTAATTAATTGAATAGCCTACTAATCAGTTCACTGGCTCCCTTTAAGAGCAAATATAATACACACAGTTGACGTCGAGAGAAAACATTATCTTCCAATAATAATCCGAGGTTGCGCTGGAACTCAAAATCGATATTCATCTCTTGAATCACTCTATATCAACACAGTGACATTACCCATCACTCGACTAGAGACACTGCTTGTATCAGGGTTGCCAGTATGACATGTTTGTACCGTATAAATAAAAACGCTGGGAATGAATTATAAATAGGGATATTCTTTTCTGTATTTCCTATCAGAACAAAAAAAATGATAATTATATTCATTGTAAAACATCCTGTACATTGTACCTATTACATTATTTCAATTATTATGGTAATTATAATACAACTAATAAGAAGAAGAATGCTCACGAAAGGACTGAATTCAGTTATGAATCTGAATTTCCATTCAGTCCTCGAACAAAAATATTGGTTCAATTTTACATGATATTATCAATTTGAGGAAAGGAAAAGAGCTTAAAAATATTATTCCTTCAATACAATTTCATCTTGTAAGGATAGTTGTAGTGAAAAAATAAACAAAAATTCGAATCATCAAAGTACTCTGCCACAGTTAACTTTAATAAGTTATTGATAAATCGGCCTGCGAAGTTTTCCTGGTTTTTTGTGAAACTATATGCCGATGATTCATCGGTGGTCGTTTCTGGCAGGACTCCTGAAGAACTTCTGGAGGCATGTGAATGCATTGTGAGGGAGTTTGTAAGTTGGTGTCGAATGAACAATCTGATGGTGAACGTTGACAAAACTGTATGTGTTCATTTTTGTCTGAAGGGCAATGGAATTAGTACCTTGGATGTTAAATATGGGGACAACACTATATCATCATCCCAATCAACAAAGTTTCTTGGAATATATATAGACAAAAATTTCAGATGGACATCACACATTGAGGTCTTATGTGAAATTTTGAGTAACTTATTTTTTGCAATCTCTAGAATTAAGAACATCGTACCTAGAAACTGTGATATGAATGTGTATCACAGTCTTGTATATAGTCATCTAAATTATAATATTCTGCTGTGGGGCTGCTCTACAGAAATAAATATGGTGTTTATTACACAGAAGCGAATACTTCGATTAATATTCAATATTCGTCAACGAACATCTTGTTAACCTATCTTCATTAATAATTACATACTCACCTGTGTTTATATATTTATAGATGTTTGTTATATGTTAAAGAAAATGAAGATTGGGTTATCAAATTGAATAGTAATCATGAGTATTCAACAAGAAACAGGGATGTACTACTTATTCCTATGCATAAAACAGTTAAATTTGAGCACTCTCTCTTTTATCAGAGTATTAAAATTTTCAACCATTTGCCATCGAATTTGAAAGTACTGAAAGCTCATTTGTTTGAGAGGGGAGTTAAATCTCAAATATCTGGTCTTAACAAAGACATACTATAGTGTGGCAGAGTATTTCGATGATTCGAATGTAGGCAATAATGTATGAATCAATTTTTTGTATCATATGTTTTTATATTTTTTTTAACACAAATGTTCTTCACCATGTGAAATTGTCTCAAATGTTTCATATTTCTGAGGTAATTTTTTTCTTTTCTTTTCAAATAAAGTTGTATATTATTGTAAACATAAATTCAACCAATATTTTTGTTTGAACCAATATTTTTGTTTGAACCAATATTTGTGCTCGAGGGCTGAATGGAAGATCAGACTCAAAACTGAATTCAGTCCTTTTGAGAGCATTCTTCCTAGTTGTGATTATTGTATCAATTGAAATGAATGTAATTCTACAATGTAAAGAATGTTTCTCAATAAATTTATTTTATTATATATTATATATATATATATATATATATATATATATATATATATATATATATATATATAATAAGTATATAAGATTTTCATAAGTCCGTATGCTTTTTGAATAGTGTTTTTTATATGTTGTTTGTAATTGAGTGCAGTATTCAATTCAACTTCTAGATATTTCTCCGATTGTGATGGTACAATTTTGACAAGACCTTCTACAGAGAGAGGAGTCAATATATTGTCATGAGTGAATTTGCGTGTGAAAATTTTTTGTTTGGTTTCTTTCCAGGATTCCAATTCAGGTCTCCCTAGTGAAGGCACTTCACTCTTCCCACTAGGCTCAGAGACCACTGTATAAAATCTTCTTTTATTTGAGTCATGTCTTGATGAAGGGCAACAATTGTATTTTACTGCACTGATTATCACGTAATAAAATATCATTTCCACGAAACTGCTTCATCTTCTGGTTATTTGATATGAAAATTGAACATAAAAAATATGAATGAATGAGTGAAATAAACATGTTCATGTCAACTTTTCCTGAGATTGTCAACGTGGTAATTCATAATTGTTGGTAATTCAGCGATATTTTTTCGCATTTTGAATTAAGTACATATTCAATGTTGAAATAATAATAAGTAATATTGACGTCCGCAGTTTTCGTAGATATAGCAAATATATATATAGATATTAATCCATATATCCACCAGTATAAATGACAGTTTAGTTGTAGTTAGTTCGTACATTTTAATCTTCTCATGTCTTGAAGAGAGTTATAAATATTTTCAGATTTATTGATATGAAAACAGGTGTTTATAGGTATCTTTTGCGGTACCTACAAAAATCTGAATGTTGAAGATTTATCCCATCTCTGATACGATCCGTCACAATTGGTGGTCAAAAAATACATTTCTCCTATCAAGTTAATGTAAAATCATATACCTTGCTTATAACACTACTGTTTTTAATTGTGAAATTGTAAAAACTTTTCGTTCTCCCAAGAAAACATCTGGTTTTACTGAATATTTACACATGTGTTACTTTTCATGAAATTACATGAAAATGAATTTCGTTCAATATTTCTTGAGAATATATTCATCAGTTAACACCAACTCTACTTTGTTATAGTCATCATCAATCAACTACCATAAATTGAAATAAATACTCCGAATGTTCAGTGAGAAATGACAAATATGGCAACGCTTTTTGGAAGTCACAGAGAATGCACGAGATATTTGACAAAGTAATTAAATCGTTTATTCTGTGAGCATGTTTTGTTCCGCCCTTAATCTTCCGTATTGTATTCTGCATTCAGCTTCCATCTGAATTCCATTCCATTTTGAATGGAACTCGGGATGTAATTGTTCCGACCGCTCTGCTACTTCACCCAAAGCAGAATGTTGCTAACGAACACAGAGGTATTAACGCATTTTCTACCGAATTCCCGAAGGAATATTCATTGTGTTGAATTCACAATTTTTACGAAATCCTTTGAATTCGTCAGGTACGAAAACAATTCTTTTTGCCAATTTTACCGTCTGTCATTTCATTGAAACTGTAAAATTTCATGCAAATGTGAATCTAGACAGCTACTTATCTTGTTTATTGACAAAAAGTAATATATCAAAACTCCATCAAATATGCATATTCATTTCCATGTACGCCTTAATCGTTCTCAAAAACTCTATCTGGCCCACTATAAGTTCTCGAGAGGCTTTCTCATGGCAAATAAAATTAATATACTTCTGATTTTGATATACTTTCTGATCAATATACTTTCTGAAAACAATATTTTCAAGACAATGCTGAATAAATTCGTCTGATATACGAGTAGCAATAATTCATATTCAAAAATTCAAAAATGTATAACAGTTAATCAAATTACATAAGAAAATCTAACACAAAACACTGCTGTCACAAGTAACAAGAGTA